GGCTGGTAGGGAGGGTAAACGGGGACCCGACGCGCGAAAGAAAGAGGCGGGGAAAGCGAAAATGAAAGCGCAGGAAGCCGGAAGCAGAAATAATAGGGGGGAGGCATAATTCGACCCGAATATACATTGAAAGGATGAGCGCGGGAATATACGGAGGAAGCCTCGTCTGCTGCTCAAAGATTTAGTGACCTTGGAAAGGTTCGTTTTGGACCACAGCTACCAGAGACGGGGCACCCATGCTGGCGAGGGGAGGGCGGTCTGGGGGATATAGACAAAAAATGGTACTTCTGAAAGATCTGGGAATATACACAACGCCGATGGTTTGAGTGGAAATGCAAGCGGTGAAGTCCCAGAGCAATGCAGAAAGGTCTAAGAGAGAGAGAGCCATGCCAAACACTGGGCTCCCTCGTTCTCTTTTTTGGCACGCACGATTGATTTCCACCTTGAGCGTTCAGACCTCGAGATACGTTCTGTTTTGGGGGAGGAAAGGGGAGGATAATGTTGCACAGCCACCCGATCCCACTGGGCTGAACATGGGATTTTTCTGATCGCCCCACACCCACGTGCCTTGTGTTTTCTATACTTTTTTCTCCACTTCTGTGTCGTGGCAAGACCAACTCAGCACCAACTACGTATTATAGAGAGGCAAGAGGCAGGGATGGACTTCATAATAGGCAAGACATGGGTCAACAGATCATGGGTTGCCTTTATAGAAACCAAATGGCAATATTTGTCTTAGCGCTGGTGGTTTAAACCACTGGTTCTTAACCTTGGGTTACTCAGGAGTTTTGGACTGCAACTCCCAGAAGCCTTCACCACCAACTGTGCTGGCTGGGGTTTCTGGGAGTTGCAGTTCAAAAACATCCAAATAACAAAGGTTAACCTCATAGAAAGGGAGTCTAGAGAAGTAGTGACCGTTTCCGCAAACTTTAATATTGAAGGAAAGGGGAATTCATTGGAGGATGACAAACGGAGGGGGGGGCTGGCTGTTTGCTTGAAGGCAGCAGCAGGAGGACGATGAGAAATGGGGTGAGGAAAAGGGGCCCCGCTTTCTGACATGGGCAGGAAGAGGAGCTGATCCATGCAAACCGTGGGATCCAGAATGGGGGAGTTGTAGATGGGAAGCTTCCCAAGAGGAATCTTTTTCATGGGGTGGGGGGCAGCGTGGCCTCAAAGTGTGACTGGCCCCGATTTCTGGGGCTTCGGGTTTCTCTCCTTGAGCTGGGAAGGTCCTCATTTTCCCAGGAGAGCCATGGGGGGGGCATTGGGAAGGTGAGGGCAGAAGTCCAGGGAAAAGCCCCGCACGGAGCAAGAAGAGCCGATGAGCGCAGCACATGCGAGCGCATGCACACCACCGTTGCAGAACTGAGGTGGGATCTCTTCTTGGCCAACTGTACTGTGACACAGGGGGTGGGAGGGAGAGATGAAGACCCTCCTCCCTGGTTTTTTCAGGGTCCCACACTCTCCTCACCAAAGAGCGCTGGATGAAACAGCATTTGAGGACTCAGATGGGAATCGGGAGGAGGAGTGAGAGAGGATCTGCAAGTCATGAAAGCTTCCACTAAACTTTTTTATGAACAGAGGGTCTCTCCTCGGTCCTCCACTTGTGTCAAAGACCAGTTCTTTTTTTCTTTTTGCTGGAGAGACAGGATGATGCCAGGTGGCATTGAGGGTTTGGAAGGAAAGCTCTTTCCCCCCCTTTCCCCCACGGCAGCAGCGGCGGGGCAGCAGTGGGAGCTAGAGGGAAACGGTGAGAAAGGGACTGGGAGCGCACGGTCCCTTTCTCAGGCGAAGCCAGCCTCAGTGTGCATCAAACGCCCGAAGAAGAAACAATGGAAGAACCAACCAACAAAAGAGGCAGCTCACCAGGAGGAGGCGGCTTGCTCCATCGCCCCCCCTACTGCCCCTTCTGTTCCTTCGCCCCTCCCATGTCACCCCTTTTCATTCCACCGTCCCCCTGAAAAATGAAATCGCCCCCCTGAGGGGCAAAATTGCCCAGGTTAAGAACCACTGGTTAAAACTCTTAGAAGTGACTGGGTGCAACTCAGGTTCTGCTAAACCAGATGGGTATCTTTGCATGAGAAGAAATAGAAGAAGGACTTCCTCAGGTTTCCGATGCTGTCTTTTACCTGCTTCGACCTTAGAGAACTTTTCAACCTTAGAGACTGCTATTCTTAGGGTTGCTAATGTCTCTTCTTTCCCTGTCACATCATCCGCTTGTCTCTTGGTTCTGTAGAGATGAAACGGGCACTCATGGCTCCTTGACGTTTCCAGCTTACTTAGGAAAGGTGATAGAAGTCCCAGTTCTGTGAAAACTGTCCTTCTATAAGAAACATCTGTCATTATTTTCATTTTAAAAAAGGTGTGGGCATGATTCATCTGCTGAGGGGAAAAGGTACCAAAGCAACCATTTCCATCTTTCAGAGGGCTGGACCTACAAATTAACATCGCTCCTGTGCCTCTCCAAAATAACCTCTCTCTGCCATCACCTTGGCCTAACTTCCTGCTAATACATTTCTGTCCCTGGTCTGTAGGAGGTTTGAATCAGGCACAGCTTAGGTGTCAGCAGTGAGGGGGGAAATAAGGGATCAGATTTTTCTAACTAGGTAGTCAGCAGTCAACATCAACACTCGACTGCAGTGGTGATGTAAATGCAACCTACTTTCCCTCTCTCCCATCACCAGTATATTTCATATATAATGCCAAGTTCCTACAGCAGGAAACCGACACACCATTAATCTAATAGAGGAATGGTGATGCGGAGGGAAAAGTTGTCATATATAAACAAGGAGGAGACTCAGACCCCCTCATCACATTCATTATTAACAGGAATTGAGTGCATTCACTTGCCAGAAGGGAATCAACTAGCCTTGGAGGGTAAAAGTTCAAAATGGCCCTAGATGTAGAAATGAGGGTTGAGAATTACAAGGAAGGCGGGCTTGCGATTGAGGAAAGTGCCCACAACAGTTCTGTCACTGATCTCATTTGAAACCACAGCCACCCACTGAAATGTAATGTTGTGGGAGGGAAAACCAAACAGTGGAAACATAATTGGGAGAGCCAACCATAGTTTTACTTGTCATTTTTATATCGATTTTATTGTACCACAATCTCCATCTGGATTCTGTTTTTGACAATTATATTATTAACACTGGACAGTAACAACATTTTTGCTAGCATTCAGGTAGGTACGGAGTAAGCCAATTAAATACATGCATTGTAAATATGACAAGGAAAAACCAGCCTAGTTTAAGGAGGTTCCAGTATCAGTGTATCATGTTTCTTTATTTAGGAAACAGAAGTCTGGTTTGGAGCAATATCTTTGCTGGATCATTAGAAAAATGCAAACAAGGCCAGCTTTCAAGTCCTTCGGGACAGTTCATCAGGCATAATTAGCAGTAATAAATGTGCCATCAAGTCACCATCATGAAAGTCTCTCTAAGACCTCTGGATGCCTCCATGGATCATGACAAGGCACTTGTTATGTTTCAAGTCAGCACTGACCTGATAGGGTTTCCAAGGTAAGCAAGGTATTTAAGGATTATCAGATCCAGCTCCCAGTGAGTTCCCACAGCACAGCCAGTGAATCAAACCCCAGATCTCCTATTTCCATTATTCTATCCATTACACTGCACTGGTACCCCAGCACTTAGCCTTCTTCTTTTTTTGGCTTAGACCAGGGGAAAAAAAGAACATCAGAGCCCGTCATTTAGCAACAAAGTCCAAGGATCACTAAAAAGTTACAAATAACATGAGCTTCAAGTTTCAAAGGGCAGGACCTAAATAAAGTCTTTTATTTAGTAGGGAGTATTCTGAATGAAAGTTCCTCTCCACTCAGTAAATCAAGATTTCCAGTTCTGTCTCCTGTCTCTGTCTGTCTGTCTTACAAAGGCAGAACATCCCAACAGGGTTTTGTCCATGATATAATATAGAAATCAAAATCGGGATTGTTTTCTAAAGAAGAACACCACTTACCCTCGCTACCATGATTTGTTTTGGTGCACCCAAGAAACCATGGGAGCCTGGCTTAAATACAGTTCCGAAGGAGGGGGTGTCTTTCACCATGTCGCTTAGATGTTCCTCTTCTTTTCTCCTCAGGGACTAGCAGCAGCAAAAGAAAAATGCCGCTTGGTGGCAATTGTGGCCAGTGTCTTCCTTTGCATTCCAGCCACTGCCGCTGGTCTTACTGCACCCCAAAGTCCCACAGCAACCTGGCTAAAATACAGTAGTGAGGCAAAAGGAGGAAACCTGCCCTCAACAAGAAGACCCCCAGGCTAGATAAATTCACTGCTTTCTCCCTCCTCTGTCACTGTGCACAGTCACCAGTGCATTGTGACAGGAAGTTCTTGGACTCTAATAACATGAATGCAGAAAACTTCTATTCATACAAGGGGCATTATGAACTGGCGTGAGGAATATTTTTGGAGTGAGGGAAAAGAGACAGGCACATACGTTCAGTACAGTTAAATGTGTCAAGCTAGATATTTTTAGGTATTCCTACAGACTTCACAGTTTCACATGATGTCAAGAAAAGGAGTCACAGTGTTTTTCCTTCATACCTGTTTTTTTTAAAAAAAAAATCAGGGGCCTCGTGCCAACAGTGGATGTGAGCAAAGCAAAACTGAATGGGGCTCGAGTGCTTACACCCACATCCATTCTCATATTTAACATACATCCCTAGGCCTAATCTCCGGGCCAGGTGTGACCTAGGAGTTAGAGGAACAAGCCAACTTCAAATCATGGTTTATTATCTGGACATGCAGAGGAGTGGACCCTGCAGTGAACTCTGAGATGGAGACAAGACTTGCTAATCTCACAGATATAAAGCAAACTCCTAACT